CTCATTTTCTAAAGTCTCCCATAAGGTAAATTTCGTTGTTGTTTTCGTTTTTGTTTTCTCATGCTCTTCCCGTGTCTTTTTTTGTCTTCTCATACTCTTATCTTGTCTCTATTTTCGTTGTAGGTTCATTTTGCGTAAATTTTGAATCTGGAACGTCCTGCTCTGCAAGGAGAACGGCCCGTTCTACAAGGAAAATGGTCTGTTCTGCATGGAGGACGGCCCGTTCTGAAAGAAGAACGGCCCGTTCTGGATTGCTAGAACGGCTCGTTCTAAAGTATAATTTTAGGCCTTTTTTACAACCTGGAACGGCCTGTTCCAGTTTAATTTTTTCAGAACCAAGACTTTTAAGATCGGTTATAAAACAACCGATCTTAAAAGTTAACTTTTAAAATCGACTCTTTTAAAATCAGTTACGGAACCGATTTTAAAAGTTGAAAATAACCAATTTTAAAAGCCTTTTTTCCACTAGTGTGATGTTTTTTTTGGCTACCTTGCACACTACAATTTGCCTTACAAATCTCAAGAAATACAAGAGGAGAGGAGAAATAGAATATCTGGACTATCTAAGACTCTAATAGACTAATTGTGTTCCATTTCGGCTCCCTGAGAGTTGTGTACAAGGTGTTGATTTATAGGCACAAAAATGAACTGGAACAGTTGTTCTAATTATCAAAATGGGCCATTCCAGAATGATCTATGTTAGCAAAAATTTGAATTCGGAATGGCTCATTCTGAAAACGGAACGGGTCGTTCCAAATTTGAGTTTTATATCTAACAAACCCTTTTGTGCCATTTGAACCTTTAATGTCATTTGGGTTCATTTCTGTGTTGGTTTGGGACCTTCGAAGTCTCCTAATCTTGTCTCCTTGGCTTTTTTATTTGATGCAGTCACCCTGGAAGAAATTAGGTGTCTACAGGGTCCTCAAAACATGGGAACATTACTTTGTGACAAAAGACCTCATCATACATACTGATCATGTGGCCCTTAAGTATTTGAGAGGACAATGGTCCTCAAAACATGGGAACATTACTTTGTGACAAAAGACCTCATCATACATACTGATCATGTGGCCCTTAAGTATTTGAGAGGACAATGTAAGTTAAATAAAAGACATGCTAAGTGGGTGGAATATTTAGAACAATTCCCTTATGTTATCAAATATAAGAAGGGAAAAAGTAATGTTGTAAGTGATGCACTGTCTAGAAGATACACATTACTTACTACCCTTAATTCTCAAATTTTTAGATTTGATAACATTAAGGAATTGTATGAGCATGATCTAGATTTTCAATCCACCTATGCTCAATGTCTTAAGAAATTTGTTGATGGATTCTATATTAGTGATGTATATCTTTATAAAATGGGCAAAGTGTGCATACCAAAAGGATCCATTAGAAAACTTCTAATTAAAGGAAGTCATGAAGAAGGTCTCAGGCCATATTGGAGCTTGTAAAACTCTAAGTTTTACAAAAAAAAAAATATTTTATTGGTCACACATAAGAGTAGATGTCCAAAGGTATTGCTCTAAATGTATAGCTTATATACAAGTCAAGTCTAAGGTTATGCCTTATGGACTCTACACACCTCTTCCTATAGCTAGCAACCCTTGGGTTGACATAAGTATGGATTTTGTGCTTGGTCTCCCAAGAATTCAAAGGGGACACAATTTTATATTTATAGTAGTGAATAGATTTTCAAAGATGGCTCATTTCATACCATACCACAAAGTAGATGAAGTTAGTCATATCTCAAGACTTTTCTTTAGGGGATTTGTTAGGTTGCAGGGAATCCCTAAAATAATAGTTTTAGATATGGATGTTAAGTTCCTTAGTCACTTATGAAAAATACTTTGGGAAAGACTAGGAACTAAACTTCTATTTTCCTCGCCTACAAACTGATGGGCAAACAGAAGTAGTTAACAGGTCCCTATCCACATTATTGATGGTCATCTTAAGAAACAAAAAAAAAGTATTTGGATGAACATCTTCCTCATATTGAATTTGCATATAATAGGGTGATCCATAAAACCACCAACCTTTATCCTTTTGAGGTTGTTTATGGCTTTAACTCTCTCACTCCTCTTAATATACTTTCATTGCCTAATACTGCTTCTTATTTACATAAGGAAGGAGTATCTAAGGTTGATTTTATTAAGAAACTCCATGAGAAGGTTAAATACCAAATTGAAAAACAAACTCAAAACTATATTAAATACAACAACAAAGGAAGAAAGAAAGTTTTATTTAAGGAAAATGACTTAATTTGGCTTCACTTGAGAAAAGATAGATTTTCTACATAAAGAAAGTCTAAACTAAGTCCAAGAAGAGATGGTCAATTCCAAGATTTACCTTCTGGGTATGGTGTTAGCAATACCTTTAATGTTTGTGATGTTTTGCCTTTTGCAGGTACAGTTGACACTGATGATAAGGGGATAGATCTAAGGCCAGGTCCTTTTGAAGAAAGAGGGAATGAAGAAGGACCACCCTTGAAGACCATAGGACCTTTCATAAGGTCTATGATTAGGAGGCTAGAAGAAGCTATTCTAAATGGTGTGTAAGTAGTAAAGGTGTAGAAATAGCCAAAAGTGATATTGGGCTTGTTTTTCTTCCCTTTGTCCAAGGAATTGATTTGGTGTGGTTTAACCTTCATTTGGTTAACCAAAGTAAATTAATTCCTTGGCTTTTGGTTAGCCAAAGGCCATAATTGGTGACTCAATAGTTGATGTCAATATTCAATGTACATTATTACTATTTATATTTTTGTTATGTATTATTCTCTTTTGGTGTAAATGTTCAACTATCATATGTACTTATAAATAAGCTAATCCTTTCCTAGAAATAATACATCTTATATTATTTTGTTTGTTCTCTCTATTTTATCTTTCTTTTCATAATAGTAATAACCTATTAATTTAATATAGTAACATTTTAAGAAAGGACAAAACTTAGGTATAGTTCTTTAAATTCGGTTGATGATGTTCTCCGATCAAAATTGGAGTTTTACCTTAGTATTATACAAGTGCATTTAATACAGGTCTCATTAATATATATTTACACATACTATCTAAGTAAAACTCTAACTCTTATTAAAGAATAGCACCAACCGTACCTAAAGAAATTGTACCTAAGTTTCATCCTATAGAAATGTAAGTAAACAAATGTTGTTAAAGATGTTAAATGTAGTACTGGGTTTAGAAAAAGATAATGGGTTCGGTTGGATAAAATTTTCCAAAAGCACTTTTAGAAAGATAAAATAAAATAAATTTCTCCAAAACTTAAAATTAGTTTATGTATACGTTAATTTATATAAAAAAAAAAAAATTATATAACATCTCCAAAAATTACAATTTAGGTTATGCATAAGCTAGATTTAGCTTATAAAGAAACTTATTTTCTTTTTCTTTCCAAAAGAGATTTTGTAGAAATTTTTCCAAGCAAAATGTGAAATGCAAGTGACAAATCAGTATATTATTATGAATCAACTCTATATACAACAGTATATTGATACAGTGAGTATTTGAAGGAAAGTTCTTTCGATCTGGTATAATCAACCATAACCATCAAAACGAAAGAAAAACAACTTCACAAGTAACTGATCCCGTAACATGGTAATTTTTCACAGTCAAATTTAACATACATAAGAAAGGGAATTTTCGTGTATGAAATCTGCACCAAATTCTTTAGTAGACGTTTCATCCCCCAAGACTTTTTTTCTAACATAATACGCTGGTTTTTTGGGTAAAGAAGTCACTTTACTTTTGTTTGCTAACATAGATACAATGTTGGACATGGAGGGTCGATCATCTGCATTTTCTTCCACACATAATAGACCAGCATGAACACATCTTAACACTTCATCTTCAGAAAATGAATCGTTTAGTGTTGGATCCACCAACTTAGTAGCCTCTCCTTCTCTCCATAACTCCCATGCCTGTGAAAGAGTGATTATTTTTCAAGTCAATCAACAAAAACAAAAGAAAAAGAATGTATGGTAAGAAATAGTAAATAAAATTATTTATCGTACATGTCCTACTAAATTGAGTGGTTGTTCGTCGGTATAGATGCTATTGTTTCTTTTACCACTAACAATTTCAAAAAGTAACACTCCAAAGCTGTACACATCAGATTTTGTGGAGAAAACTCCTTCCATAGCATATTCTGGAGACATATAACCACTGTAGAACAAAAGAGCTAAATAAAAAACATATTATTGCAAATAACTTTACTTTATACAATAATCAAAATATTGAAATTGACTGTCTCACTATGTTCCAACAATCCTGTTGGTATTTGCTTCAGAATTCTGCTGTGTGAACATTTTTGCTATACCAAAATCAGAAATTTTAGGGTTCATGTTCTCATCAAGGAGAATGTTGCTGGCCTTCAAGTCTCTATGAATGATTCTAAGTCTCGAGTATTTGTGAAGGTAAAGTAATCCTTGAGCAATTCCTTCTATTATGCTGAAACGCTTATTCCAATCCAGCAACTGACTTTGAGTAGAATCTTCCATAAACAAACATGAATTCAAATATCATTTGTCGTGACACAAATTATTATAATAATTTAACCAACAAAATTTGTGTAAAACATTTACCTCATCTCATATGTTTGGTAGGGTAAAAAGAAATTGAGGGAAGAGATAAAAAAAATATATAATTTAGATTGAAGAAAAAATTATCAGGAAAAAATAATTTCTGTTTGTAGAAGTCAATTTTTCTCTTTTCTTTTATTTTTCTTTAATAAAAAATATATGTTTATCCATATATTTTTGCTCTTCTACTTTTTTTTTTCTCATCCAAATCTATATAAAATGATATTTTATAATATTACCTTCATTAGTTAGTTAATTAACTAGAGTTTAACCGCGAGATGAATTGACTTGCTCAGCTTTACTTCTTAACATAAGAAATTCGATTATTCGACTAAACCAATTTTTGAAGCTGAAAAAAAAAGGATTTATCAAAATATAATTTCTCATAAAGTGGTTGAGAATAAATGACTAAAAACGTCAATGTTTTAGAAATCGTATGACTACCATATGAAAGCTCTTATTTTTTTGTCACACATATTCAACACCCAATAATCTTATAAGATTTAACGATATGGGAAAAAGATTTTACACTACTCACCAAATAAAATGAAGTCCAAGCTTTTGTTAGGCATGTACTCATAGATCAAAATCCTCTCTTCTTCATGAATGCAGTAACCGAGTAGCTGAACCAAATTCGTGTGCTGGAGTTTAGATATGAGTGTTAATTCATTTTTAAATTCGACTAGCCCTTGTCCAGAAGATATTGACAGTTTTTTCACAGCAACTTCTTGCCTTGTAGATAGAATTCCCTAAAGTGACAATAAAAAAGAAAAAAAAAAATCACCAATCCTCAGAAAGAAATTAGTACGTGTGCTATATTTAAACAATTTCATGTCACCTTATAATGTACGTGCCACGAATAAAGAAGAAAAAGAAATCACCTTGTAAACTAGTCCAAAGCCACCCTGTCCTAACTTGTTTATAGATGAAAAGCCATTTGTAGCCTCCATTATTGATGCATAACTGAATACTTTCAAGTCATATTCCTCCTGTAAATCAACTTCTAGTTTTTTGGTACTCGAGGATCTATTGGAAGGCGCAAGTCCTTGCTTCTCAATCTCCATTCTTTTTCTTTTATTCTCTGTTTAAAATAAAATGGGGCGGACAACATGAGGTCGTGTATTGTGATAAAGATTATAAAGCAAAACTTTTGTGAGGAATGCAGATATAGATATACATATACCTTCAAGCACATGTTTTCGTTTCTTTAAGACTCTGCACAGAATGCAAAGGCAGATTATGAGTGTCGTTGTTGCTATTGCGATAATGACCCATATCCACCATTTTATCCCTGCATAGAATAATATTAATATATATAAAGAACTAATTTGAATTATTTCTAAGAATTGCTTCATAAAATGACTTAAAAAATGGGACTTGTCTTGATTCAATCTTACAAAACCGGTTTATAAAGTGAGTGTGTTTGTAGAACTAGACATCTACAGATGATCCGATAACAGTTCAATAGACTTGACAATAATTACTAAGATATATTTAGATATCATATTAAAAATGTGGGTTTGTAAGATATGAATTGTCACATGCTTAAGCACTATTTTGTGTATACTTCTAGTCAATGTAAGATCACTCCATAGTACTAACAATCTTAAAAAAGTAATACAAAGTGATATAATAAAAATGAAGCAACATCAATTAAGATGACAAAACTCCACCTAATTTCTTTTAAAACTGATCATTCCCAAGTGGAGAAATGCTAGCAACACATCCTCTAACACACTCTTTTAAAAATATTCTCTCTAATTGATTGAAATTCATTGGAAAATACAAATTTGGTAGATCTCACATCCTATTCAATGACTCTCTCCTTTGTTTGTAATTTTCAATAAATTATAGCCAAGAACTAATATGCACTTGCGGGGCATGACTTCCGTTGGCTTAACATTATTTTTAACACATGCAAGAATCAAATCTGTGAGTACCAAGTCGACCTCCCTATCTCAGGATAGACCTTACAACCATTGGATCAAGAGGCTTGATTCTAAGTATGTAAATACTACACATACATGGTTAAAGCTAATATACTAGTCCTTCTGTGCACTATAGTAGTAAAACAAAAATTTTAGTACAGAAGCAAGTTTTGAAATTATAGCAAAATGACTTGCCTTTTTGATGATTGCTCCTGACTAGCATGTAAAACTTGTCACCCTCGCTTGCAAAATTGGTACCCTTCAATGAATCCCACAGGAAGAATGTGCAGCCAGTTTCATTATCATGCAAAAGAGTGAACCCAACGCAGCTGCAGTTCCTCCAGCATATTGTCTGGCACTCACTTATGCCATAACTTGAATTCCCTTCATCTCTTTTCATCTTCAAATTAGGGTAACCTTGCTTCAGTTCAAACACATCACCACGATGCCTGCAAGTGGGTATCTCCTCCCACCTTTGGCACCCTCCATCTGTGTTGTACCCATAACACATATCAGCCCTAGCAACATCATCTCCATTACGGTTTATCAACTGCCCCGTTGACAATAGCGTCCATTTCGTAATCTCTTCCTTTGAGTTTGAACTTCTCAATATGAAGTAGGCTTCATTTTCATTTGACACAATATCATAATTAACCTCCCCAGAAATGTGCTCCAATCTTTTTCCACTAGTCCAATAAACCCTTTCTCCTCGCTTGATCATCAACTGTTTTGTACTATCCCATTCAAGCCTGAAAGGACCAGGAGTAACCACATTTTTGCTCAACCATGAAACCAGTGACAAATTTCGACCAGTTTTGTGGTTCACACCTAGCTTCATCCCTGGGAGCAATGTGTCAGTGGGAAAATCAAAACTTTCCCACAACACACTCATTGTGGACCCGTTAGGGTGAAGTTGTTGAAGCACAAAATTACCTGTGTCCAACAAGGTGGCTACAGTGTTGTTGATGTTGAGTGTTTGAGGTGTGGAGAAAAGGATAATTGGTTCCACCTCTTGGGATTCGATTTTAAGTACACCAGAGTGGTTGAATGATAGAACTGCAGATTCTGTGAGAACGGGTTGGTTTCTATTAGCAACCCACACTACCCAATCATCATTTTCTTGGGTATATATACGTAAGTAAGCTACGCTCTCATCATCAAATTTTGCTTGAAAATTCATGCAATATTTACCCTTTTCTGAACATAACTTTTCTGGTGTATTCAGCGTATCACCTGGCTTTAAACTATCATTAGCGGCTTCAATACAAGTAGTCCACCACAACCACAAGTACGTTAGAACAAGCAACACATGTACATGAGGTTTCCCTTGTATACTGAAAGCCATGATTTGTGTGATAGAACTAATGTTTCAATTATGGAAAAGACTAAACTGCAATAAGCTTTTGGTTTAGTAAATTGATATGATGCTTATTGGATGACAAGCTGTCGTTTGTGGAAGAACATGATTCGTTTTCTAGTCAAAAGGAGACTCCACTTTAATTCACGGCTCACTATAATTTATACAAGAAAACAATCATGTGAACACCAATGGTTGCCACTTTTCGTCTTTAACACATGTTTTGATAATGAGCGAAGCCATGTGCTATTTTTCAATTCAATCAAAAAATATAACTTTAAGCCTTGGACTTGCTTTAATTCCTCGATGAAAAGCTGAATTCAATACTTAAATAGTGTAAAAATGGGATACCATACCACCCTTTAACATCGGTTATTAGGATAGCAATGTGGTAGAGAAGGCTGGGACATTTTTCTAATTTATGCTAACTATACAACTCCCTAACACCCAAGTTGTATCTTTTTTAATACGGAACAAGTCCCTTCTTAGAAAATAGGTTTAGACCAAGTTCAACCCTGTAAAATCAATTTGAAAGGTGAGGGATTGTCGCATCCATTTATATACTATTTAATTGTCTTATTATCTCTTGACAATATGATATTTAGATTTTTTCTAATACACTCTCTTCACGCCTAATACTAATAAACTTGGTATATATATAAATGATGAGTAACCCTTATTAATGACCTAGAATAAACAGGACTTAAATTTATCCCAATATACCCATTCACACCTAGTACTATTGAGCTTGAAACATGTATCCATGGTCGATGACTCATTTAGAATAATTCTAGATAGTTCTGATACTATTTTAGAATGTAGGTATAAGTTTATCTCAACCTTATAAAACATATTTATAAGATAAGAGTTACCACTATTTATATACTCTTTCATTGTCTTATCTCTTATAAATGTGGGCATAGATTTTTCCCAACATTCCTTTTCCCCATTCGTGCAAACACTTCTCTAGTTCTCCCCTTTGCCTTCGATCGCGACGCCACCACAACTTCGACTACCTCATCGGTGATTTTTGGCGCTGCCGTGAACGCAAGCAGCCTTCGTTCACTGCCATCGCCGTCAATGGTGCCTAAGTCACTAAAAAAACACATTAAATAAAATTATAATTAAACAAACACACTAAAAGAAATACAAATTCCTTTGTAGCATTTAACCAAACACCTCATATGCATAAATATAAACAAACCAAAATAGCCCCAACCCAAAGCACATGCAGCCCTAAAATGACAATCAATCAAACCCAATACATGCATTATACATCAACCAGTACATATATCAACCAACAGAAGCGCAGCTGATGAGCTACAAAAATGAACAAGGAAACGCACCTGTGGACGTCGGCGACGAGAATGTTACGCACCATATGTTAAGTTCCTAAATAATAAAAAAGTTTAAATATATTTTTAGTCCTTCAAATTTATGATAAATTTATTTTTTGTTCCTCAAATTTAAAATTATTATTTTTAATCTTTATAATTTTAAAAAAATTTATTTTAATCTTTATATTCAAATTTTGTTAAAAAATTTATCAAATATTATTGTATAAAATCTACCTATTAGTGTCTCTATTAGTGAAAATATCACATTTAATATGGTTAATATTGCATAACTGTCATAATTAGTCACTTTCAAATATGTTATTGATAACCTAAGGGATTAAAACAAGATTTTTGAAAATTATAGGAACTAAAAACAACAGTTTTAAATTTGAGGGACCAAAAACAAATTTGTCTTAAATTTGAGAGATTAAAAACATATTTAAGTCATAATAAAAATTAAAAATTACTTTATAAATTAGTAATTTAGCCAAAAGTTATTAGTTTAAATAATTATTTATCATAAATCTTTTTAATCTATGCAATTAGGTTAAAAAACATTATTTTATATAACTATCTATTTTATTTTTTAATTTTTATAATTTAAATTTGTTTTAATTATTTTGGATCTCTATAAATTAAGATAGAATTTTTTTTAATTTATATTCTTCTAATTTCTTAATCATTATCATTACTTTTTTTAACATTGAAGCGTCAAGATATTTAATTTAGAATAGTTCTAATAAAATAAATTCAACATTCAGACATATAAACTTGAATTAATATATCTATCATATCAACATGAAAGAGACAATATTAAAAAAATAAACTTAACAACAAGAATTAAATGAATTAAAAAAAATTGTAAGTACATAAATTAAAAAGATTTATCTTAATTTGTAGGAACTAAAGTGGATTGAAAAAATAAGTATAGAGACTAAAAATGTTTATTTTAAACTATAAAAACTAAAATATAAAATAAATAAAATTATAGGAATTGAAAACATATTTTAACTAAGTAATCATTTATTAGTCTATGTAATTATTTATTATTAACATGTCATTTTTATATGACATTTATGATTTTGGTTTATACTAATAAGTGTTAAATTTTTTGTGTGTAAACAAGCGTGTGTGTGTGTGTTTCAAAGTCTACAAAATGAACACCCAACCACCATGTGATTAAAATAAATTAAAAGCTTAACCATTAAGATAACTAAATAATTCTACAAAATTTAAGAAAGTAGACACCTCATCACTATGTGATTAATATATTGGAAGCTTAACCATTAAGATACTTAAATAATTCAAAAAAATTCTAGAAAGTCCTATATAAATATCTACAACATGGACACCTCATCACCATGTGACTAAAATGACTTAAGAAATATTTATCAATCTAGAAGATTTGAGAATGGAGGTGGTGACTAGTATAAAAGGGAGAAACCACACCAAAAAATTCATCAACAACCCTTAACACTAAGACATAAACCAAGCATAGGAAACACCCAAAAATACTACATCTTTGCCACAACCAAGGAGTAAACAACTAAAATTTGAAGAAGAAAGGAAGAAGATAGGAGGAAAAACTAAGAAAAGAAAAAATCAAGAAAATTAGGAGAAAACTAGCAAACTTGGAGAAATAAGTATGGGTTAAATGTTTAATTTTATTCATGTTTGAATAGTTGTAGAGTGAGTCTTAATTATTACTTATAAATTTTGATGCATGGAACCATAGGTTAGATAATATGATTTTTTATTGTACTTTTTAATAAATTTGATGTTTTAAGGTTGAATATTGAAGTAGTTGATTGTTTATGAATAGTTGTTATTATTGGAATTTTTTGAATTGTATTTGAAAAGTTTGATTGAGAATGATTTTTGAAGTGATATATTAATAGTAATGCATGTTGCATATTGCATAACATTGTTTTTTAGTCAAAAGATTATTTGTGGGGGGGGGCAGTAAAGAGTCTATAAAAATATTTGAGAAATGAATTATATATCAAGGATAATTGATAGAAAAAGAATGAGTTTTAAAATTTTGAAATGATTTTTTTTAAATTCTTTTCTTTATGTTTACTATCCGAGACATTAATTGATTGTTATAATGGATATTGTCAAGGACATTTAGCAGTACAAGATGAAAATAATTAATATATATATATATATATATAGTGAGAGAGAGCTTGATATGTAAGGATGGAAAAATTACCCGTACTCGCAAGTATCCACTGATAAAATCCATCACAGAAAATAAATGGGTAGCCTAAATGAATACCTAGGAGTAATGGGTATGAATATTTTTTTTACCTCTTTATAAACGTGATGGGGCAAGTATGGTAATATTTATACCCGCATGTACCTTGCTAAATAATATTACTTAAATATTTATATTTTTATCTTATATTTTTTATATTATTTTAAATATTTCAAAAAATTATCATTAATTGCAATTTCAAGTCCCTAAAATTGAAGGGTTGGGGCTTCATACTCCTGGTTCCACTCAACCCAGTCGCTTCCTTCAATGTTGGTCCATTAACCTTTATGAGCTTGCCTTTCACAACAGATTTCATTATCCCCTCATTGCTTGAGGCAAAACACAAGAACAGCCTTATGATGTTAGGATAATACGGACCACTCAATTCCAAGAACTTCCCAAGCTCTTGATGCTCCAAGAGAGGAGGAAAACTAAAACCCTCCAAATCTGAGTTAATTCACTACTCCATGAATCTCAACAGTCTCCCCCTTTTTGATGATGACAAACCATACAAAAACAACCAGATATGTATATATGTCCAGATTGCACATGTATTGATTTATGCACAAGACTCAATAGCTCAAAATCAATGTTCCAATCAATCCAAATTAATACCAAGACTTGTATCAGAGAATTGGATACCACATTCACATAATTGTACTTGAAACAATATATCAACCATATGATACATCAACTATAATGAGCAACATTTCAAATTTACCAGCAAACATCAACATATATGCATCACTATTTTCACATATCAATGTGTAAACCAGAATTTAGCAATATCAAGCATTCAAATTGATGTTACCATAACCACATCATTCCAAACACAATATAATCACAATGAAATTCATATTGCACCAGAATTGAAATTGTTCAAACCAAGATAAAACTGAGATAAGAAAATTGTTCAGAAATTAAAAAGATTATAACCCAATTGAAATTTAAAACTAAAATAGAACACTAAAGCTTCTAAACCAATCACTCCGACTCCTCTTGCATTCCAAGCTGAGCCTTAATCCTTACAATCTCATGATCAAGGTTATCAAACCGATCAAGAATGCCAGAATAATATGACTTATGCTTCCTTGTCATCTCCATCACAGCATCAAGCTTGTTAATCATAATTTGTTCAAATGGAGAAAACGTTTTAGGCTCCGATTCTTGCTCTTGATCAGGTTCAATCTCCACTTGTGGTGGATGCTCCTCATCATGAAATGGAACACCATCTTCAGCCATAGCCGGTTCCGGTGTTGGAGGAACATCACCCTTGAAAACCCATTTATCTTCTTGTTTTAGCATCCCCATATGATGCAAAGAAGATTTTTCTATCTTGTTTGAGGCATGGAGAATTATCTTTTTCTCCCCTTGAAGATCCACACTAGCTTTCTCAAAAATCTTAGATAGCAACAAAGCATATGGTATTGGACCATCCTCTTTTCTCCTAGCTTTCCAAATACAGTCATTCACTACAGACACCCAATCTATCTTTTCTTTTTTCTTAATGACATGCATAAGCAAAATATCATCTCTAGACATTTGAGCATGATTATGAAGTCTAGGCTTAAGCATCCAAGCTATAATAAAGGAAATCAACCTAGAGTTTTTCTTCATACCTCCAGCTATAAATTTAGTATAATTTGTAGTCTCCAGGTTCCTTTGACAATCTCTAAAGGTCGTCAACTCTTCAAAGTCCCTAAAATTGAAGGGTTGGGGCTTCATACTCCTGGTTCCACTCAACCCAGTCGCTTCCTTCAATGTTGGTCCATTAACCTTTATGAGCTTGCCTTTCACAACAGATTTCATTATCCCCTCATTGCTTGAGGCAAAACACAAGAACAGCCTTATGATGTTAGGATAATACGGACCACTCAATTCCAAGAACTTCCCAAGCTCTTGAAACTCCATTTGAATAAAAAGGAAGTATTGGAAAAATTATTTGTTTTTATCTATGGATTGTATTGCACGTATATTAATACAGTTGAAACACATACATATTATAAACCAGAAGTTTACAAATCAAAATAAATTTGAGGTTTGGCATGACAGGTTGGGTCATCCTAAGACTATTATGATGTGAAAAATAATTAAAAATTCATGTGGACATTTATTGAAGAACCAGGAGATTCTTCATTTAAATATTTTCTCATGTACTGCTTGTTCCCAAAGGAAGTTAATAATCAGATCATCACTAGCAAAAATTGGGGATGAATCTATCTTATTTTTAGAACGGATACAAGGTGATATTTGTGGACCAATACACCCCCCATGTGGACCATTTAGATATTTTATGATTTTAATTGATGCATCAACAAGATGGTCACATGTTTGTTTATTATCAATTCGCAACCAGACGTTTGCGAGATTATTAGCTCAACTAATTAGATTAAGAGCTCATTTTCCTGACTATCCATTTAAAAAAAAATTGTTTGGATAATACTGGTGAATTCACATCTCATTCTTTTAATGAGTTGATTTTCCCAACATTAGGGGGAGAACACAAATAGCTAGAAAAAGATATTAGTTGGAATGAATTATCACTAATTTTGATCCTCGTACAAAATAATGTGAACTAGAAGTTCAAAAGATAATTCATTTGCAAAATCTAGTCAATCAATTACCAAATGTATTCATAGATCCAAAAAGGGTGACTAAGTCATATGTATTAGCGACTAATGCTCCAATAAGAGTCGCAGTCCCTGTTGGACAATCTAATATTGCAAACGAGTCACAAATACGCCTGAAGCGTGGTAGACTAATTGGTTCCAAGGATAAGAATCCTCAAATAAAAAAGAGAGCTAAAAAGCAAAACGACCAAATTGAGG